GAGGGCATCAACCCAACCAGTTACTAACAAGTGGATTAAAAAAACTATACTGACAAGGATTAAAAAATCGGCCTAAATAAAATGCCATAAACTCCATACACTTTAAACTGAAAAATTAACCCTTAACCTTGATAAATTTGAGTTTTTTTTTCCCCTTGACCCCACCCTAGGTCGGGCTCATCTGGCACTTGTCTGTTTCAATCGGGATTTTGGCTGTTTGGGACCCCTGCCCACTCCATCAAGCCTGGGAAGATACTTGCCCTAGTTTCCTTTTGAAGATTTTTTTTCTAAAACTTGCCCCAGCAGGGGTTTCGGGTTTAAACATGTTAAACAGCCCTTGGCCCCTAACATGTTGATACAGCAAAAACACATTTCCACTTTTCAGCATTTCAAGAAACACCACAAACTACAATTAATATTTTTGACATACTTTTTGTCTTTAAACCACATAATGAAATTTTAACATAAATTTAAATTAAATGGTGGGCAAAAAGATGGCCATTTTTTTAATGTAAGGGCATTTTGCCCAACTAATTGAAAACCCTGTTATTTAAATTTATACATAATATTAAAAAAGAATTTTTATGCAGTTAAAACATTTTTAAGGCAGCTAATGTAAATGGCCCATCACGAAAGTGTGACTTTATTTTAAAACAAATTTAAAAAAATCCTCTTTTTAAATGGGGAAATGAATTTTAAAAAAAAGGGTTTAAAGATACAGTAATTTTACTTTAGATTCCCAATGAAAATTTAAAATGGGCCAAAAAATGTGAAAAATTATGTATGGATTTAAAAAAGGGAAAAAAACCGGGACAAAAAAGGGATAAAAGCGGGTTTTTTAAAAACATAGCAGACTGTGTTAAAATTAAAGCAAAGGGAAACCCTTGGGAGAATTGGTTGGCAGATGGGGAAACCTTTCAATTTTTTCGGACTGGGGTTCCCCAACCTTAAGGCCTTTTTTGAACATTGAATTTTCCAAGGTTTAGTTGGACAAGGGCGATGTAGCTTTGTTTGTCTTTTTGCACCTATTCAAAGGGGAAAGTTTTTAGAGAAGGGGATTATTGAAAAAAGGGCTGTCCATATAGTAGGCACAGTAGAAAGGTGCCCTAATGCTTTGTTTATTAAACAAGCTCAAGTTTTGGGAGTGGGGTTGTCTGCCAAAGGGAAAGGGTAAAATTTTCTACAACAACTTTAAGTTATTTTAAAGAATTAGGTAATTTTACAGGGTTCCCAAATTTTTTCAGTCTCTATGCTTCTTTCGGGAAAGGAAAACACAAATATTGGGGGAGGCCCCCAAAATTTGGGTAACTCATAACCCTGAGTTTTTAAATCTTTGGGGCCGGGCAGGCCAGGCCCAAGCCAACCAAAAATTTTTGTAACTCACCCTTTTTTTTTTTTTAAAAACTGGGCCCCTCTAACAATGAGGTAGGATGACCAGGGAAACCCAAAAAATTTCCCAAAATCACTCACTATTACTGTCTTGGAAGAAGCATGCTAATAGTACACCTCGGATGACCCTCTAGACTGTATTATCCCCACACATCCTTCAGAGTGCAAGCACTGCACTTCCCACTTCCAGGACTCAAGTCCTGATAACCACTTTCCCTGAATCCCTTTGTAAATGTTGCCTTGCTCACATACCAACAGCACATCAAATCATAATAACCACTAACCCTGTAACCCTTTCTTTCAACCAGCTTGCCACCATGAAGCTCCTCCTATACTAATACAGATGTCCCTGACTCTCCTTTCTCCAGTCCTACATTCTTTGGGTTTTTGATATTACGTGATAAATGTCATTGTAATGCAATATTTGTTTATGCTGAACACTATTAGGTGGATCATAAAAAACTTTCAAATACCAATATACAGTGGACCCCCAACTTACGACATTAATCCGTTCCTGGAGTTTACCTGGAGAGAGTTCCGGGGGTCAACGCCCCCGCGGCCCGGTCTGTGACCAGGCCTCCTGGTGGATCAGCGCCTGATCAACCAGGCTGTTGCTGCTGGCTGCACGCAAACCAACGTACGAGCCACAGCCCGGCTGATCAGGAACTGACTTTAGGTGCTTGTCCAGTGCCAGCTTGAAGACTGCCAGGGGTCTATTGGTAATCCCCCTTATGTGTGCTGGGAGGCAGTTGAACAGTCTCGGGCCCCTGACACTTATTGTATGGTCTCTTAACGTGCTAGTGACACCCCTGCTTTTCATTGGGGGGATGGTGCATCGTCTGCCAAGTCTTTTGCTTTCGTAGCGAGTGATTTTCGTGTGCAAGTTCGGTACTAGTCCCTCTAGGATTTTCCAGGTGTATATAATCATGTATCTCTCCCTCCTGCGTTCCAGGGAATACAGGTTTAGAAACCTCAAGCGCTCCCAGTAATTGAGGTGTTTTATCTCCGTTATGCGCGCCGTGAAAGTTCTCTGTACATTTTCTAGGTCGGCAATTTCACCTGCCTTGAAAGGTGCTGTTAGAGTGCAGCAATATTCCAGCCTAGATAGAACAAGTGACCTGACGAGTGTCATCATGGGCTTGGCCTCCCTAGTTTTGAAGGTTCTCATTATCCATCCTGTCATTTTTCTAGCAGATGCGATTGATACAATGTTATGGTCCTTGAAGGTGAGATCCTCCGACATGATCACTCCCAGGTCTTTGACGTTGGTGTTTCGCTCTATTTTGTGGCCAGAATTTGTTTTGTACTCTGAAGATTTAATTTCCTCATGTTTACCATATCTGAGTAATTGAAATTTCTCATCGTTGAACTTCATATTGTTTTCTGCAGCCCACTGAAAGATTTGGTTGATGTCCGCCTGGAGCCTTGCAGTGTCTGCAATGGAAGACACTGTCATGCAGATTCGGGTGTCATCTGCAAAGGAAGACACGGTGCTGTGGCTGACATCCTTGTCTATGTTGGATATGAGGATGAGGAACAAGATGGGAGCGAGTACTGTGCCTTGTGGAACAGAGCTTTTCACCGTAGCTGCCTTGGACTTTACTCTGTTGACGACTACTCTCTGTGTTCTGTTAGTGAGGAAATTATAGATCCATCGACCGACTTTTCCTGTTATTCCTTTAGCACGCATTTTGTGCGCTATTACGCCATGGTCACACTTGTCGAAGGCTTTTGCAAAGTCTGTATATATTACATCTGCATTCTTTTTGTCTTCTAGTGCATTTAGGACCTTGTCGTAGTGATCCAATAGTTGAGACAGACAGGAGCGACCTGTCCTAAACCCATGTTGCCCTGGGTTGTGTAACTGATGGGTTTCTAGATGGGTGGTGATCTTGCTTCTTAGGACCCTTTCAAAGATTTTTATGATATGGGATGTTAGTGCTATTGGTCTGTAGTTCTTTGCTGTTGCTTACTGCCCCCTTTGTGGAGTGGGGCTATGTCTGTTGTTTTTAGTAACTGTGGCGCCCCCCCGGTGTCCATGCTCCCCTCCATAGGATGGAAAAGGCTCGTGATAGGGGCTTCTTGCAGTTCTTGATGAACACAAGTTCCATGAGTCTGGCCCTGGGGCAGAGTGCATGGGCATGTAAATTTATCGCCTGTTCAAAGTCATTTGGCGTAAATAACATCGGATAGGCTTGGTTAATAAAATTTTTGTGGCTCTCTCATAAAAAATTCATTTGATCTTCGACTTGGTTACCTGGAGTTTACCGGGGAAGAGAGTTCCGGGGGTCAACGCCCCCGCGGCCCGGTCTGTGACCAGGCCTCCTGGTGGATCAGAGCCTGATAACCAGGCTGTTGCTGCTGGCTGCACGCAAACCAAGTACGAGCCACAGCCCGGCAAATCACGGTTGCTAAAAACTGAGTCATATTGGGACTTGAGTAGTTTCACTCATTTCCTTGCTGTCATCTGTGTAGGACCCTCTTGTTTAAGTGGGGGCCCAATACTGGACGTTGTTCTCGATTTTGATTTGGCATGGGAGAAGAGAAATACTTTGGGTTTCTTTCGTTTTCATTTATGGCTTTTAGTTCTTCCGCGATTCCTGACTCCTAAAGGATTCTTTTAGCTTAAGTTCGATGCTTGCTATTTCTCTGACCAGTGTCTCCCTACGTATTTCAGATATATTGACCTCTTTTAGCCGCTCTGTTATTCTTTTCCGTCGCCTGTAAAGGGAACGCCTGTCTCTTTCTATTTTACATCTACTCCTCCTTTTTCTTAGAGGAATAAGCCTTGTGCATACATCGAGTGCCACCGAGTTAATCTGTTCTAGGCATAAGTTGGGGTCTGTGTTGCTTAGTATATCTTCCCAGCTTATATCGGTTAGGACTTGGTTTACTTGGTCCCACTTTATGTTTTTGTTATTGAAGTTGAATTTGGTGAATGCTCCCTCGTGACTAGTCTCATTATGTCATCATTTTGTATTTATCACATGACCATATTATGCCACAGTCAACTGTGTTCATTATTCTGTGCTATACGGACCATGGCCTGGTGGCTAAAACTCGCTTCACACGGCGAGTCCCGGGTTCAATTCCCAGTGAGGGTAGAAACATTGGGCTTGTTTCTTTACACCGGTTGTCTATGCTTACCCATCAATATTATTATTATAATCAAAAAGCGCCGCTAAGCCACAAGGGCTATACAGCTACCCATCAATAAAATGGGTACCTGGGTGTTAGTCGACTGGTGTGGGTCGCATCCTGGGACAAAACTGACTTTAATTTGCCTGAAATGCTCTACATAACAAGGGACTTTCTATATGTAGTAGTTATGTCACTGATGTCAGCTATGTATACCTTGTAATAAAGTTGGTAGATTTACCAACAATACGTAAAGTAAAAGGACACAAGTGCAACTAATGTGACATTTTACTGTGGCAACGTTTCGCTCTCCAAGAGCTTTATCAAGCCATTAATGGCTTGATAAAGCTCCTGGAGAGCGAAACGTTGCCACAGTAAAATGTCACATTAGTTGCACTTGTGTCCTTTTACTTTATATGTACACCTTGTACATGTACTTGTAGTAAACAGATATTATTATTACTTACCCTGTGTGTGTTGCTGTTGTTCTTCACCTTCAAGATAAATTCTGTCAACAAGTTAGCAGGTTTTTTTCTCCTGTCAGTGACTACATCAGTAGTGATGTACAGTGACTAGTAGGTTGATGTTTGTTGTCAATGCAGTTGCTTGTGGTAATCAACATAGTGTTCCTCTTGACTCTGCCGAATGATTTACTGTGTTATTGATGGTATTTAGGGAATCGTCATTACATGGGTTCTAAATTTTTATTAGCCATTATACAATGTTAAGTAAATGGACACAGTTGCAACTGATGTAACATTTTATTGTAGCAACACTTGGCTCCTGGAGAGGTCAACATTGCAACAATAAATGTCACTTTAGTTGCAACTGTCTATTCACCTAACATTTTGTCAGAAATTATACAATTACTAATATTACATAAGTTTTGGCTGATGACAATTGTCTTACATACTAACATATGAAGAAATTTACTTGAATAACAAAGTAATGTCAAAGTGACTGACTTCCACTGAGTTAATACTTAAGTATTAGATAGATTACTCCACATAAATAGTTTCCTGTTGTGAAGGGGATATTCAGGTGGCAAAGTCATGACTGAAGATGGCTTTTGAAAGTCAAAAAAAAATTATATATTCACCAGCAAGCAACTGCCTGGTCCATCAAACACCAGACAAAACTGGCCGAAGGTCACACACACTGGGAATATAAAAAGAAAATCGGAATTCAAAGGTATATCGAAGGTAAGTACTGTATTGTTAGTTCATCAATGTAATGTTCAAGTTTATTATACTTGATATAAATACCCAGAGATCTTAATATTGCAAGACTGTGTAGGAAACCACGCAAAATATTTCAGGGATTACAGTTAATATTTTGTGGATTCCCTATCACATAGGCCTCTTGGACCATAACCTCTCAAATTCACCCTAATAGAAATCAAAGACCCCAATGTAAATAAAGGTCTATAATAAAAAATCAAGAACCCAATGGGAATCAAGGATCCTAATAGAAAACAAAGACCACAATGGGAATCCAGGATCGAGGTGTCCCGTAGCTCGATCATTAGCGCACTCAACATGACACGAAATCGTAATGACACGATTGCAAACAAACTATACCAGGGGCGGGACTGAGTTTTGAGACTCTCTGATCGCGGGTTCAATTCCGCCTGTGGTATGGTTCAGCGCACTCAGCTCTCACACACTGAAGTCCGGAGTTCGAATCCCCGGTACGGCTGGAAAACATTAGGGGCGTGTTTCCATAAGACGTCTGCTGTCCCTCCACTCCCATCAGTATAAAATGGGTACCTGGGTGTTAGTGCACTGGTGTGGGTCGCATCCTGGGACAAAACTGACCTAATTTACCTGAAATACTCAGCATAACAAGCGGCTTTCTATATAGTAGTAAACAAATACATATGAATGGAGGAACACTGCAGAAGTCCTATAGGCCCATAAAAGACAGGTCCTTATCAAAACCACCCCTATCCTAAGCTACCCAAGAATTTACTCCCGTACCCAATGATATCAATCAAACCCAGCCCCTCCCACTCGTATATTGTCCAATCTTTTTTTAAAGCTACCCAAGGTCCTACCCTCTATCACCCCTACTCTGAAGATTGTTCCAGGCATCCACTGATGTCAACTAGGCCTGTATACCATGGGAATCAAGGATCCTAAAGGAAAACAAAGACCACATTATTCCTATGTTAGGTAAACTATATGCCTATCAGTGTCAAGTGTAAACTCCTACTGTATGCGTATGACAGTACTCCGTTAGTGTCAGGTAAAGACCCACAAGATATAGCTAATGTAATTACACTGGAACTGGAGTCCTGCAGACAACAAACTATCGTTACACCTCGAGAAAACGGAAGCCATACTCTGGCACGAAAACTGAGAAGGGTAAATAATTGTAATGTCCGGTGTAATGGATTTATTATTATAATCAAGGGGAAGAGCTAAACCCGTAGGATTATACAGCGCCTAGGGGGGGATGTGGAAGGCATTCAGGCTTAATTAATTGGAGCACAGATCCAATTCACTAAATCAAGGGCCCCTCGCCAACATCAAGGAACCTTCCGTGAGGGGCCGGTGTAATGGACAACCCATCACTTCAGTTTCCTCAGTAAAGTAGCTGGGAATCCCCTTTAATGCATGTCAAGAGAACTGATAGGGAACAGTATAGTAAAGAAAGCGAATACCAGACTAAAATTCCTCCTACAGACAAGCACAATGTCTACCTACTGAGGCTCACAGGACCCTATGTCTAGCTCTTATAGTGTCATATGGATTACGCTTGCTCTTCATGGTACTCTGCCTTAACAAATAAACTGAAAGATAAGCTACAAATCATCCAGAACAAAATGGCGAGATTCATTCTGGACTTGGGTCCAAGAAAGCATGTAGGCCAGGATGAATTACAACTGGATATGGTGAATGTTGAAGACAGAGTAAAACAACTGAAGTTAAATCAAGTTTATAGGATTGCTCACAGTGTCCAGAATATCTTCTGCCTATTTTTGTCAATATAGAGTAAGAAATAGTATTAGTCTGCCCGAAATGCCTAGGCATGCGATTGGCCTTCTTTGTAATAAGTATTGTATTTTATAACTATTTTATAAACCACACATTGTAATCTATACAGGGGATTACCAACAGACCCCTGGCAGTCTTCAAGCTGGCACTGGACAAGCACCTAAAGTCAGTTCCGGATCAGCCGGGCTGTGGCTCGTACGTTGGTTTGCGTGCAGCCAGCAGCAACAGCCTGGTTGATCAGGCTCTGATCCACCAGGAGGCCTGGTCACAGACCGGGCCGCGGGGGCGTTGACCCCCGGAACTCTCTCCAGGTAAACTCCAGGTACCCATAGTCAGAGGCCGGGCTTCAAACATATTTTACTGTACAGCAATAAAGGAATGGAACAGACTGCCTGTACATGTCCAAGCCAGTCATATAATTATAATTATAATCAAAAAGAAGCGCTAAGCCACAAGGGCAATACAGCGCTGCAGGGTAGGGAAGGAAGCGAGGGTATTGGATGGCAGAAGGGAGGAGGGATGATCAGTAGGTTACAGAAAACAGCGGGGCAGGAGATAGTACGGGGGTAGAGGGTAGCAAGAGATTGAAGTAGAAAGCGCTGAAGGTATCAGAATTTGTGAAGAAAGTCAGTTGTTGTCAAAAAGTCAATGAGAGAGTCCGGATGAAAGATGGGTCCATCAGCAAGAAGGGAAGGTAAAGAGAGAGCAGCGGAGTGTAGACGACGACGGAGGTAAATTCTGCGTGCTCGTTGATAAAGTGGGCAGTCCAACAGGATGTGGCTGTTAGGTAAGACAAATATGCAACAGTTAGGTATCTTTATTTCGAAACGTTTCGCCTACACAGTAGGCTTCTTCAGTTGAGTACAGAAAAGCTGATAGAAGCAGAAGAGACTTGAAGACGATGATGGGTGATGGACTGATTACATCGTCTCTTCTGCTTCTATCAGCTTTTCTGTACTCGACTGAAGAAGCCTACTGTGTAGGCGAAACGTTTCGAAATAAAGATACCTAACTGTTGCATATGTGTCTTACCTAACAACCTGTCGGTATTTTATACCATTTTAACATTCAGAATGTGGCTGACTGATAATGGAGCTTGGCAATTCTCACAGAGAGGAGCAGGGTGCCTCTCCATGAGATATCCATGAGTAAGACGAGTATGGCCAATGCGAAGACGGGAGAGAGTAGTCTCCCAACCTCGACACTGGTGATAAGAAGACGGCCAGTAACCTATACTCAGTTTAATAGATTGAAGTTTGTTACCGAGCATAGTAGACCAACGTTGTTGCCAACGGGTGTGAAGGTGGGAAGATATTGCAGCAAAATAGTCCGTAAATGGAATACCTCTATATGAAACTGGTAGGTCGTGTACTGCTGACCGCGCAGCAGTGTCTGCCTGTTCATTGCCCTGTACGTCAACATGACCAGGGACCCAACAAAAAAACAATATATTTACGCTTGGTAAAGATGCGGCATAGCCAAAGTTGGATACGGAGGACTAAGGGGTGAGGTGTATCAAATTTCTGTATAGCCTGTAAAGCACTAAGGGAGTCTAAGACAACCACAAATGATGACACAGGCATAGATGCAATACAGATAAGTGCTGCAAGGATGGCATACAATTCAGCAGTAAAAATGCTAGCCGAAGATAGTAAATGCCCTCGTACGATGCTGTCCGGAAACATTGCTGCGAATCCTATGCCGTCAGAAGACTTAGAGCCATCTGTGTACACAGCAATGGCATGAGAATGAGAGTGAAAGTGGTCAAGAAAAGGAGAGCGGGAAGCGACCGTAGACAGTTGGGCTTTCGAGCAAGGGAGAGAGAAAGAACAGACTCAAACAGCTGGAACTTCCCAGGGGGGTTGGGAAAAGTGAGATGCTACATGAACATAGAAAGGTGGTAATTGAAGAGAAGACAAGAGCGAATGAAGGCGAAGAGAGAAGGGACGAAGTAAACAAGGGCGGTGAACAAATAAAGAATGTCTACTAATATCAGTGACCATTCTATAAATGGAAGGATTGCGGAGATCATGAGAGCGTACATAGTAGCGAAGGCAATGGGCATCACGGCGATCAGATAAGAATGGAATGTTCACTTTTGCATAGAGGCTCTCGACAGGGGAAGAGCAAAAAGCACCAAGGCATAAACGTAATCCTTGGTGATGAATGGGGTTAAGGCTAGAGAGAGTAGCAGGAGATGCTGCTGAATAGATCTGGTCACCATAATCAAGTTTCGATAAAATGAGGGTGGAATGTAGGCGAAGGAGGGTTCGACGATCAGCTCCCCATGAAAGATGAGCAAGGGTTTTAAGAAGGTTCAGCCGGCTGTGACAAGTTGCCTTCAGAGAGGTAATGTGAGGTTTCCAGGATAACCTACGGTCAAAGAGGAGGCCCAGAAACTTGACTGTATCACGTTCAGGGATACGGGAGCCATAGAGGTACAAAGGATGATCGGAGATGACAGAGCGTCTAGTGAAAGTAATTTGGTGGGTTTTAGTGCTGGAAAATTTAAACCCATGTGTGGTGGCCCAATTGGAACATGGTCGACTGCATGCTGGAGAGAAACTGTAATGAGGTGACAGTCAGCGCCTGCACAGGCAATAGCGAAGCCATCAACATAGAGTGATGACCAAATATTTGATGGAAGACTAGAGGCCAAATCATTAATAGAAAGGAGAAAAAGTGTTGTGCTCAGAACACATCCCTGGGGGACACCTTCAGCTTGGATCAAGTCCGGGGAGAGCACATTATTAACCCAAACACGGAAATGCCTGTCAGTTAAAAAGCTCTTAAGGAAGGATGGTGGATTGCCTCGAAGGCCTAAGGAGTGGGCTTGGGCTAAAATATTATACCTCCAAGTTGTGTCATATGCCTTCTCAAGGTCAAAAAATATGGCAATAAATGAGTGGTTATTCGCAAAGGCATTACGAACATACGTATCCAAGCGTAGTAAGGGGTCTATGGTAGAACGTCCCTTACGAAAGCCATATTGACGAGTGGAGAGACTGTTGTCTCTCTAAAAACCGCACTAAACGTCTATTTACTAGGCGTTCCATCACTTTGCAAACTGCACTGGTAAGAGCAATGGGACGATAGTGGGAGGCTTCATGTCCCATAGTGCCTGGTTTGCGGAAAGGGAGAACAATGGCAGATTTCCAC